TAAAGTGCGGGAAATGTCCTTTCACAATTTCACACAGTTCTCTCACTCTCGGCAATTGCTGTATCACCTAATGATTCAGAAAATGCGTTTTATTCAGATTCTCGAAATCATACAACTGGACAAGAACATTACCTCGCTTTAACTCCGTCTTTCTTTTCCTCTATGATGACTCAAATACTTTTAAACACTGTATAATATTTTATCAGCGATTTTTATTCTTTTCAAAAGAGTATTGCCTAGGGTATGAAAAAAGATAACCTATAGATTGAATCTATGACTTATTATAGACACATTGAAATTTTGTACTTTCAAATTTATTGTTAAATTTCATCTTATGTATTGTAATATAAATTCTGTGTCAAAGCTAAAATGATCCGTAAGAGATTGGAGAGCCCCCCATTCCTATAAATGAATAATAAATTCCTATATGTAAATAAATAAATATATAAATAAATAAACAGATTATAAAAAATATAAATAAAAGAATAATATGTATATATATATATTTTTTTTTCTTCACCTACTCGTGTCAAAAGTACTGAATTAGCAAACTATTAGGGAGTCTGCTGTCGGGAAGAATACTGGTAGTGGATTGATTGGCGTGAGAAATATTGAATATTTATATTACATCTATATAAAAATTACTTCTGTTATTGATCTTTACAGTGTTATTCAAGAATTTAGGTTTTTATTTCAAACTGTATGGCTGAAGAAACTCTAAACCCTAAAAGGTCCTAAAGATGTCTGTCTACCTAACCTCGTTTAACCCCATATAGATAAGATCGGGCTTAACAACCGACACCTCGAACTAACCCAAGGCAGCTTCAAGCTGGTTAAACATTTATATTAATAAAAGGTACAACTTTTATACCTCAGCTTACCATTCTCCATGGCTTAAAAACGTTTCCCAAATTTACAGATATTTTTTTTTATTAAGAAAATTATTTTTATTTCCCCCGGTATATGTTTTCATATAAAAAATATTATACTCAAGTATTTGCGAGTACTGAATAAATCTGAAAACTTTTAGGCCTTCTTTTTTACGTATCAAGAAAAAGAGATAAAGTGAGACTATTAAGTAAACGCTAAATATATATATATATATATACAAAAATAATTCTTAATTGTGTATATATTTGAATAAAATGTAATTTTCAGGCTAACAGAAAATCAAATAAAATGAGCGATGATAACTTCGAAGTTTTCCGCTCTTTAAACCAAAATAATAATAAATTTTAGTAGTTTTATATTCAAGTTTTTAATTCCTAAAAAATTATAATTGCACTGTCTAAAAATAATCTTCTTTGACCACACAAGAGGTCCACATATTGTCCTCGTAAACAAAAACCGTTACAACTCCATCGGCATTTAAATCCTTGCAATTAAGTATTATTATTATTATTTCTATTATGATATAACACTTCTGAATAAAACACAACAGAGGACATAGGTCGATCAAACCTTCTAGACCTTTTTTATTTTTTTATTTTATTGTATTTATGATATTTACAACTGTATTGAGAAAGAATACATTAAGTAAATGTGATAACAGAAAATAAAAACATGAAAACACTTGTTGAGGAACTACCCACTGGTAGCACTCTAAAAAAAAATGTATTTACAATAGGAGATCTCGAGGCCATCTTCTTTTCAGACGCCTCGGAGGGTCATCTTATAGGAAGCAAGGTTAGAAACGAGAGGGTTCGGATGGTTCTGAAGTTTATTATGGAAGGATAGGAATCTGGATTGGGCCAATTCGGAAACACAAGGAAATTAAGGTCTTTATGGATGATTTTATTAGTGACAAAGTAAGGAGCATTGAGGATTTTACGAACTATTTTGGATTGTAGGGATTGGATGCGTGAGGAATCCGATGGCTTTGTGGACCCCCAAATCTCAACTCCGTATGTCCAGATAGCTCTTATTGTTGCCATGTATATCAGTCTTTTGTAATTAACTGGAAGTTAGACCTTAAAACAAAACTTATTCCAACATTTCTATTTGAAGGGTGATTTGCGTTTCTCCCTTCGACGGTTAATTTTAAACCGACAAAGTATGTCTCGAACAATCTTAGCAGTATGAAAATAGAATTTCCAGCGTTCAAAGATGAAAATCTCACTTTTATTTCCAACAAAAATGTTGTTGTAACGATAAACAATATTAAAAACTGAGGTACGTAGATACTTTGTGAAACAAAGTCGATTATTAAACTATACAATGTGTTTGATGAAGAAAGGCATGTAACAAGAAGAAATAATGTGAGAAAAAGTAAAAGACAGAGGGGCTGGACACAATATACATAACTGTACCGCTCCAGCCAGCGTGTGCTATGACAGCGCTGTACTATACCTTGGGTCTCGGCTAACTGTCTCCGATTCCCTCACGTTCTAGTCTGGGATACAGTTTCAAGGCGAGATACCTTGTATTTCAAGCGTAAAAATCTCACTCTCTCGGGAATTAACTTTGTTAAAGTGAGTTAATGTTAAATTGGCACAGAACATCAAAATATTTCGATATGCATTGTTATCATCCGAAGTATGCAACTATTTTGTATGTGCGCCTATGTGCTAGAGAATCAATATTTATATTCATATTCATATTTCAAAAATGTTTGTAGTATCGATGAAAATACCGTCCAACGATATTTCAAGTCCGATATTTTGATGGTATCGATAGTCATAGCCCGAAATTAATATCACAATACATTACAATATCTATATTGGGCCTTTAATAACTCATATCTACAAATAGTCCTATATTGTTTGTATGTGTATCGTTTTGGTTTATTATTTTCAATAATGAATCATTGTAATCTAACAAAAAATTCAAAAACTTAATCCCCTCTCAAAATTTGAAGTTTTATGTTTCAGGATATGTAGAATTCGAAAAACAAATCCGCCGTCCTTTTTTTTTTTTTTTTTTGTTCTTCCCCACCTCGCCATTTAGGCTATACGGGATTTTCCCGGGCCGGAGGGTGAGGGCGGGGAATTAAAAATCCCCTCTGGCACCGGGACTCGAACTCTCATTTTTTAATCTTAGATTGTTCAAATCGATCCTCAACATGTGATAATAAGTGAATAAGGCCTGAATATCAAATTATTAAGCAATAAAAACGAGTAAATAATATACAATGTTAATAGTATTTCAAGAATTATTTTTTACTTTTGTTCAGTCAAAAGTCACGGTCCACGCCCTGTGAAATGTAGAGTCCAGGACTATCCTATCATGACTCAAAGCGGGCAAGCTGAAGATATACTATCTCACTCGACCTACATGAGAACAGGACAGGGAAATAACTGAACCCATCTACAGAGAAATTATAAAAGAGGTTAAATACGGAGAAAATAGTGAGAGTTCATTTGAGCTAATGAAAAGTATGAAGACAAGGGGTATTGTTTGGAAATATAATAAGGAGAAGGTAATTACTGGAATCGGAGAAAGTTCATCATAGAACGTTTAAACTTGATTCAATACCTTTGGGCCCGAATCTCTCTTACACTATTACAAATTACAAAAGAAATGCAAGAATTACCTCCGTATAGGTAAAGATAAATAAACAGCGGCGTGCCAAGGGGAGTCCGTACCGGTTTTGCGGTAACCAGAGCCAATCAAAGCACCATTCAAGGTACCACCCAGCTGCATTCGTCTGATTAAAGCGGAGCTATCAGTCTTCAGTTGAAAAGGAATTTAAATAATAATTATGAAAATTATCATACTAAGCAACGTGAAAAAAACAAACGGGAAAGGGGATACAAGACGACTCCAATGGCTGGGAGGAAAACTTGACGGCTTAGCACGATTGTTGACCATATCTTGGATAACTACCTGCCAATAAATACTCCACTGTATCACTAGCAAGCCATGTATGGGTCTAGAGGAATCAGAGTGTTATTCATAAATCAATTCATGAATCTTTAATTAATTAAGTTGCAAGGTTGGAAAATCTCGAAGTTCCTAAAACAAAAAAAAAAAACAAAAAAATAAAAGCTCTTTCACCCAAAAACGAAACTAATTCGATAACTACTTTAATTCGCAGTTCACGGCTTATTGAACCTAGAAAGTCCACGATTCAATAAGCTCAACTATTCCAGGTCACAACAAATGGACTTGCTTGTTTTATTCCCAGCTCTCTAGCTCAAAACTTCATCAATCGATTAACTAGAAATAATACAGACTTCGTATAACAATAAGATTCATAATGCCATATACTAATTAGTAATCAATAGTGATTGACCATGGGTAAAGAATCTATGAACACAAATAATTGTAAGTTATAGTTAAATCGTTCCTCATCTATTTTTGTAATAAGCGAGAAATGGACCATGATATTAATTGAAATCATTAAATAAGGAAATTTAATTAATTTAAATATTTATAGCAATCAAGATATATTTTTCATATAAATAATTTGGATACCGGGCTTGGAATCCATCTACAATAATGGAAACCGAGCTTGGTCTATAAATCGATTTTTCAGTATTATTTTCTTGTTTTGAATGCTGAAAACACTTATCATAATGGTTTCGGATACTGGATCATCATAATGGATTACAGGTATCAAAACAATGTTTCTACCAAATGAGCACCCATTATTCTGGAGAAGAATAAATAGATTTTACTGGTACTTGAATAGAACTATGATAAAGAATGATACTTCTATTACTAGTTGCAACAATTACTTTTTTTCTTTATAATTAAAAAACAGGAATGTCATTAAAATGTACAAGTACGATACTGAAACGTAAATACTATACCAAGATTTCATTAGGCAGATTATTTTCCTGCCTAAAAGGAAGATAAAAATGAAAACTTTATTTATCAAATAAAAAATATATGGGGCCCTGTTTAGAAATTGAGAAAGTGAAATATTAATGATATTTTCTAGATCTAGCAGATCAACCTGCGATAGGGTATCGTGTTTCAATACAAAAAAAAGGGGGGGGTTGAACTCTTATAAAAACCATTTGACATACTGGTAAAATTCCTTGGTTGATGAATAGCTAAGCCAAAGGAGGAACAACTTTCACTTCCGATAATGGCACTGTTGACGATAAGGCGAGTAACGCGCACAACGTAGGCGTGAATATATGTAGGTTGGGCGGTGCCCTCCAAGACAATGGTGGCCGAATTTCTTTGCATTGGTGACCCGCTTTGGTGACCCTAGGACACCTAGCGAATACGAGAGAAGCAGCTAGATCCCGGACATACTGTTTGAAGGTAAGGCGGAGCGGTTTCGCTCAACAAAGCTTTCTGAAATTATATTTATGGAAATTATTTTACATTAATCTATTTAGTCGTCATTTCTTACATGTTCAGTTTTTTCATCGAGTACTTTTTTTCTCTCTCATTATTCCTCTGAAGTATATATTTCTTAATGATTTCTTAACATAAGATATTTGTTTTTAAATAAATATTTTCTATTGACTTCAGATTTCGGAGATAGTTGTCCGCTTCATTTTGTCAGATAATACTATTTGAATTAACAATCGTTAAAGTTAATTTCGAGCTACTTACCACAGAAGGGGATCCCCTCGGGCGTCCAGAGGCCAGAGGGCGAGCACACCCTCCTGGAAGGGCCCAGAAGCTCGAACCCCCTCTCGCAGCTATAGCTGGCCACCGTGCCCGGCACCAGGCTGCTGTTGGTGAAATCTACCGCGGAGTGCGCCGGCGCACCCGGGAATCGGCATCCTGCAACAAAAAAATATTTTTAAATGATAATATGTCATTTATATTATATGTCATAAACTGTCAATATCTAAATAAATATATTCAATAAAATATGTTTTTGAAATGAATACCTATCTCCTATCAAGAAGTTTCCTGAATATAACCTTGTTATTTAAGCAGATATATATAAGTTAGGGAGCCTCTTGGTCGCCGTTTCATAAGCGATCGGATTTCCTGGTGGAGCTAAGTGTTTGGAATAATGGTTTCATGTTTTAAGTCAGTCTCTGGTGGAAGTTTTTATATTATTCTACTACAATTACTATCACAGTTTGAATGTCCAAGCCCTTGTGCAGATAGTTATTTGCCACATAAAATGACGCGTCCGCTATTTTTGTAACAATTTTTATTGGAATGAATTTTCGTAGATTTCAGAGGTTTTCGTAGTGCCCCATAGCTCTACCGAGTATGTCCTTTATAGGGGGTTATAGTTAATTTGTAGATGGTAAGTTTGTTAGCTAAGGATGGTTTGATATAACATACAGAACCATATTGATGATACTTTTAATTGGCTACATGGTAGAAAATATAAATGAATGTAACGAAAAATGTATTATTTTCTGTAAACCGTATACTTCAATAAGGTTCCTGTTCCTACATCAGAGGTAGTGCATTATTGGTAATTGCATCTGGATAAGAGACTGACATACAGAATCCATACCACACTGAAAAGAAACAACTGAACAAATGACTTGGATCATTATCCAGGTTTTGTTGACAGACGCTACAACAAACTTGATGATCATAATATCCTGTAATAATCACATTATATAACACGTGACAGAAATTAAATGATTTTTTGAAACAAAGAAACCATGAACGATAATTATTGATGCAGAAATCTAATTCAAAGATAAGAGCTGTAAAACAAACAGAGTATTATAGATTATCACCAATCTTGCGATTCGTTCTAAGCTGTAACCAGGTTAATTTCTGAACTCTAACAAATATCGAACAAATCATTGGTTCGAAATGTTACGATATGGGCAGATTCGTTTCAACGTTATGTTGCTGACTCCAGAGCCAAATTTTTGATATATTGAAGTGAAACATAAAAAAATTATCTTTTTTCAAATTCTTACGACCAGGAGTACATAAATTGTAAATATGAAAATATATCATAGTACAACTTAACTTTAAAACATCTGATAAACATTTTTAATTTAATTATTTGCCAATCAATTATTTTTTTAATTTCTTCAGATTTAAAGTTTATTTGTCTGTTTTTCAACCGTAGATTCCAGTGTACCTTACAATTTTTTTTTTTCCAAACTACGTTCTTTTTCAACTGATTTCGATGAAAATGCTAGATATCATTTTTTTAATAAATCGGCAATATCCAAACTATAAAAACTAAAAAAATTATTAAAAATGTTATAAATGGCATTTTTAATAAAAACCTCAGAATGAAACTCATTAAATAATTTTTAAAAATGTATTATTTTATAAAACTAATAATGAAAAAAATGGTTACTCAAGAATCTATAATTGTTTGTAAACTTATTTTATTTTAATCGGAAATCAAATGAATACAATCAATCAACATAACAACCAAATGTATACACAATAAAGCAAATGTATACATAATAACCAAATATCCACTCTACGATATCATTAAATTGAGCTTCCATATTAATGGAATAAAAGCAATGTAAATAAATAGTTTTTTTTTAAGTGGAAACTTCTTTAGGTGTGTTTTGAACTTTTTTGTAGTGAGTGAATTAGATTGGTCCGTCAGATTTCCGAGGTATTAACGCTCGTGTAAAGTCGTCTAATTGAAATGTTTTTAATTAGGGATTAAAATATCTCAGACACTTAATAAACAGTGCTTGCATGCTGTAAGCAAGGGAATTGATCAGCATTTCTACCTCCCTGTAATAGGCTATAATTCAAAATTGTTTCTTAACGAGACGCCGTGTTAGAGAGGCGAAAACGAAAACAGAGTTTTGAACCAAATGATAAGGTTAGTTGAGCATATGATGTATTAAAATATTTCAGATAATAAAAATCGGACCTGTATACTGTAAGCGAGGGAAATGTTCAGCATTTCATCTTCTTTGTAATGAGCTATTATTTATATGTCATATTATTAATCTCGCCTTGCTGATTAATAATCTTAATAAGCACATCCTACAATTTCATGTGGTCCAAAGGACACACCTTAGTTTTTTTTTTCCTTTATATACTTGTTTTATTCTTTTCCTAAAACGCCTTTGATCATTAGACCTTCTTCAGGTTAATCAATGATGGTTCTCCCTCCTGCTTGTCAATGAAGGCCCGAGAACAATGGGAGTACATACAGGATGACAGTCTTTTTATTAAAATTGATCTCACTCATGTAATACCGAGTCTCGATTCAAGAATGTATTGTCAATTGACGAACAAGTTAAGTGGACCATCATAAATAAGCCTGAATGAGGGAAACCTGTCGTAAAGTATATTTACTTACTTACTTAATCCAGTCCTCTTTATTACCGTTGAGCAGTGTGAGGTTCTTTCTTATAGAGCTTGATCCAAGAATATCTATCCTGGGCCAGCTGTCTTCTCCTACTCCAGTCCATTCCTCTCCTATCAAGGGCTTCTTTAATTCCTTCTTCCCATCTTTTTCTTGGTCTTCCCTGTGGCCGCCTTCCCTCCACTTTGACCTTCTAGGTAGCCCCGGCAACTCTGTTTTCAGCCATTCGCGAGACATGTCCAAACCACCTAAGTTGATTTTCTTGGATTATCTCCTCTGCAGGCCTCAGGTCCAGATTAGCTCTTATGGTCACATTCCTGACGCGATCTCTTGTTTTTTTCCCCTATATTTTGCTTAAATATCGCATTTCCATAGCTTGGATTTGGCTTTTGTGCTTGCATATGTTAATATTGGGAGAAAAGTATTCTTGAAGACAATCTTCTTAGTGGCCTTTGAGACTTCTCTCTTTTCCAAGAAGCCTGACTTGAGGGAGTAGAAGCATTTTCCAGTCGTCTTAATTCTTTGTTTTATGTCTTCATCAACCCGTCCGTACTTAAAATCCAGCACCCAGGTATTTAAAATCTATTACTTGCTCCAGGCGGGTTCCACCTAGTCGAACTATCCGGTCTCTTCGGTCACTTCTTCTCCCAATCCTCATAAATTTTGTTTTGGATATGTTAACTTCCATGTTTATATTCCTCAACTCAGCTTGGAGGATCTTGAGGTTAAACTGCAGATTACGCCAGTCATTGTAAAGTATATTTAGGAAGACAAAGCTTTTTATTTATATCCAAGCGGTATTTTTATTATATTTACTCTCTTATAATGTACCATCAAAGAGGGTTTGGGGATAGATAAAGGTATTAACACAAAACAGCCTCCCCTACAGGACCGTAGACACCTCGTAGAGGAAGCGGGCGAGATGGAAGAGGGAAAGGTAGCGGAGCGGAACAATTTCAATAATTCCATATAGTTAGCCTAACGGGTTTTCCTCCATTACAGGGCCGCTGGCCTCATCACGCCCCCACTTATTTCATTATATACACCATTATATTATTACTTATTGTAAGTATAAGGGCTCCGTCACTATCGCCCTTTTATTTTATAAGCCCGATATTGCCCGGTGAAAGAACATAATTTACCAACAAATAAGTATGCCGTAATAATGAATAACATATGGCCGATTTGAAGGAGAGTGGGGGAACAGAAATAAGGTGGAGGAGTATTGGGAGTGAGAAGACTTTAATTCACTGCCAAAGAATATTATGATTTGGATGTACTATTATAAAAAAAGTAAATATCGCTACTGTTAGTGCAAAAGGTCGTATGTAACAATTTTACATGTTTATTCTCTTTGCGGTGCCATTTTGTAGTCTGCAACTGCTATATGTATTCTGCTAAATAGAAAAATAGCAGAGAGAAATAACAAATGAAATTGTACTAAAAAATGAAATGAAATGAAATTTTTTTTTATTATTCTGGGACTGTTGTCCCTTTAGAACAAATTATAAGTATAGATTGTATGTCTGTGTGGTCACAATTAAATTATATATTTAAAATAAGAGTGGATTAAGAATAAAAATACTGAAGGAAAAGAATACTGTGACAGAAGAGAAAGAAAAGAACTTGTACACACACACACACATATATATATATATATATATATATATTATATATATATATATATATATATATATATATAAAAGAAACTAAAATAACCTAAATAAATTGAGGTAGGCTCTGGGGATACTTAGATATTTCTCGTAATCAGTCGGATTGAGAAAGGAGTAGGTGCTTAAAGAGGAGAGGTTTGAAAGAAGAAATTGATTGTACGTGACGAATATCAGCAGGGATGCAATTCCAGAGGGAGGCGGCTTGATTTGCAAAGGATTTGTCAAATGCAGCAGTTTGGTGAGGATGAGGATAAAGGTTGGAAGTACGAGATATAGTGGGACGGGATTGGATGGAGTATTTGAGTTGTAAACTGTGAAAAATATAGGAGGCATATAAATCATGAAGACATAATTGTTTTTATGCTTTTCTATGAAAAAAAAACAACTCAATTTTTGCAAACTACCCTTTATACTAACAGTAGCTTACAATAAGAATAACAATTGACTGAAATAAGGAGTGAGGATTAGGCAACGATTGCGGTGTATTTCAGTGAATTATTTGTGAGGTCACCAATGTTTTTATTTTATTTTTTTAATTATTAGCCCTGATTATGACCCACAAGCTTGTGTCGACACATCGGCAAATTCAACAAATTATTGACTGCATATCCTGATTACTTTTCACCCTTATAATATTAACATTCAACCATATTTCCATATCTAAACTTCTTACCTGTACGGAAACAAATGGGGAGAAGATCCAATTTTTTTTCTTTCTAACTCTTGTAACTTATAAAGCATCAAATGAATAACACGGAGGAGGAAGGTGGCAGAACGAGTGTTAGTTGTGAGTTGAAGAGTGAAATGCACATTTTATTGAAATTTCAAATTATTTTTGAAAAGTTGGTCGGGAGTGCGGTCAACATATAAAATATTATATTATATAATAGTGTGTCCAAGATTGCATTGTCCAAGATTTCGACTTTACTAGAGTCGCCGTACTGCTTCCTGCATGGCCATACGGTATTCCCTGAAGAAGACCTACAGCGCAGGTTGAAACGTTGGACAATACAATAAACATACTATTTATAATATAGTTTTTATATTTTGACCGCATCCCCGACTAATTTCTTTTTAAATTAGAGTCAGCCATCTCCACACCATTATTTGTGGAAAAAATTATTGCATTTCTTTAAAGAAATAAAATATAATGTGGTGCATTAACAATAAAGAAAGATTTTATGTTGAAATAACATTAAATAGCGGATATTCTAGATATAGTTTTAAAACAAAACTGCTTCTATGTATCTTCTTCCTGACAAACTCTTCTTTCTTCACATCTCATTCGCTTTTTATCAGTCCACTTTAGTCGTAAGTCATAAAGAAAAAACTTTCTGCTTTAAAAATACTAGATAGCTAATTACCAATCCATTGGAGTACTCGTATTTAGTAGTAATCTAGCATCATTGAGAATATTAAAGGTCAAATGGGTAAAGGCGATAAGTTGGAAAACTTTAATTATTGTTAAGATTAAACGTATAAAATGGTATAACTCTAATATTTCTTTCTAGCGTTCAAATTAATTCCATAGTTTGCTCAGACCGGAGTTGATAAAGTTGCCTCGTGATCATATGCCTGCCTTTAATGGATAAAACATTTTTTAATGTTTTTGAACTTGAAAATGTTGTTTATTACCTAAATCCACTTGACCCTTCAATTATATTAGTGACATAAAATGAAGCATTGAGAACATTTTTTGTAGGTAGATTTTTAAATCTCAACATAATAGAATCTGAAGTTGTAATATCTATCTTAATCTTAATTGACCAGAACTCCATACATCCGGTAATCTACACAAAAAACTACCACTAAACAAGTTAATATTAGATTAATAAATTGTGTTCCCAATTAACATAGTTAGTTTTATATGTTCTATAATCTTTTAATAAGGTCAGCCAATATTAACGCTAATAATACATTTTATTTTTACGAGGTAAAAGCGAGTGTGAAACCCGGATAGATAATTGACATGGAATGCCGAACTACAACCATATGTTCACGGTTGGTTTTACCACATTAAATAGGAACGGGGAAAGAAAAGACTGGAGCTAAACAGAGCTCTAAAGTGTGTCCGTGAAAGAAGTAAACGAGTTCAGAGTTAATATTCCATGGGGAAGCCAGGAGAAAATGGTGCCTTACTTTAATTGAGTCGAATATTTTAGAGCGGTAGTTTCTTAAAGAAGGGACGTAGAAAGGGATATTTTATTACACTAAAATATACCATGAATAAATGGAGGATGTACTACCTAACTTTTCCCTTCGTTTATTATAGACCGTTCGTATAGTTTCGTTGCTCGTATGCTTCGGTATAATGCACTCCCATGATGCTACTAAGGGTACACCACGATGCTAATAATCAGAGGGTGCATGATGGTTTTTATAACGTTATGGATATTTTAAGAGGGTACTTATTTACAGAATATAAATTTTTGGAAAGAATCATTTTTTTATGACAAGTTTTGATTGAGGAGAACATTCAAACCAAGATTTTTTTTCTGATTCTCCTTCATTTTAACCATCACATGTATAAGTATAATATATATATATATAATTAAGTATAATATATTATAATATAATATATTTTAATATATTAAGTATAATATATTATATATTATAAGTATAATATATATATTATACTTATAATATATATAAGTATAATATATATACATGATGATGTTTCATAACCACGACCATACTTCACTTTTAAATTATTATCATTTTTTTATTCTTATCCTTAATTTTATTTTTCATCTATTACAATTATATATAAAGTAAAATTATATAATTAAATAAAATAACATATATTATATATAATTTAACTTGTTTCTGTACCGCTTTTAAGATGCAAAGAGCACTAAATTGTTGTAGGATGGCTAGGGAGGTCGATGCGCTATTGCTACTGGGGGGATGGGTACATCTGAATTAATATGGTATTAAGAGGTTCAAATGTTGCTATATAACAGATTGTATACATTTTTTAAAGCTTATTTTCATCAACAGCGATATAAAATCAAGTAATATGTTTTCAATCAACATATTTAGATATTTTTTATTTGTTTATTTATTTTATTCAGTGCCTACGCCGTTAACAATAATGCCAAAAATCTGAAAACAAAATTAATGAAAAAAAAATTTGAAAGATTGAAAAATTGGAGTAATTTTCCTTGCGCCCGGATATTGTACACGTATGCCCCTCGTTCAAATTAAATG